CTCCAACTAGTTTTCCATCCTCTTCCATCTCCTCTGCCATAATCGCTCTCTTTTGCTTCAGCTTGGCACCGCTAATTGGTCACGTCTGTACTGTGACATGGGGACCTGACATAATTGCTAGACAAATAGTGAGGCGTTTAGCTTCAGACCTGTCTCGGGCAAGCTGTACACAGACACCAGCCGAATGGAAAGCCTAATTACCACTCCAGCCCCACAACTTGCTAATTGGCAAAAACTTCCAACAAAGGAATATGTGTATTTGAATGTGTACAACTGTTTGTTAGTCCCTTTGTTTTTCTTGCATGACATGTGGGCCTATAGAAAAGAATGTGTCAGGGTGTGTGATATTACTCATTAGGAGGACAACAAATGGTCAGCTTGAGCATCTTATAAAATATGTGTGTTTTATTGTGCTACCTTTATGTTTGCCTAGTAATGGCAACTTCTTTGTTTGGTTAGAAAAGTCCACTTTTTTTCTTTGAACTTTTTTTCCCCTTTAGTTCTTGATATCACTCTCTACACCCACATCATCTTTCCATTAGATGCACTCATTAACAGAAACAATCATGCAGTCAGAAGTTTTGAAAGTTTTTTTCAATCATTATTCAGTTCCTGGAACCCAGAAAAACACATTTGTCTAATGATATATTTTCATCTTTAATTGCCTTATAAAACTACATTGAAAAAGTTATATGTCCTCCCACCCATTTTTAGGAGTCGTAGTAAGTTCTCCCCTAATCAAATGTCCCCAGACACTCCGCTTATCAATCCAAGAACTATCCTGATCCAAAACCCCAAAGATATTTGACGACATACTCACAATAACACCTTCCCCATGATGGGAACCTAACCCTTTCTGACAATGAACAAGAATCCTATTGTTGGATGTTTGGGCACAGCTGCATGGTCTCTCTGTTTGATAGGATGAGTATTTCTGCCAGGGAAACAATATTTAATAGGGCTGTTTTCAGGAACCATGGGGTAACCTGGAGTTCATGGTCAAAGCTGGACAGTTGGGAATGCATCCTGTCAAAGAGGTAAAGCAGCCTTCAGGTACAAGAAAGGCTATTAAACAAGTGTAGGAAAACGGTGGTGCAGCAAGATCAGCAGCATTTACAGAGACAGAGCCCTAATTTACTGTAAACAGACAGTAATACCAGTACCATGCGGCATAAATCGCATGGCTTAGTAAAAAAAAAACACACAAACATGAATCTGCGAGTAGAAGGAATGAAACACACGTACTTGATGTGTGAATTTGATAATGAACTGACTTGCTTTAGGCCTCACGCTGTGTTAATGTCCTCATCCCACTTCAGAAGATATCCAACAGGATTGTGTTTGTGCGCTTTTGTGGGAGTTTAGTTCATTGTCATCTATTGATTTAAATGAACGCTCCATTACGGAGGAGTCAGTTTAAGATGAGCTCCTAATCAGCTTATGACCTGCCGGTGGGCAGTTTGCCATTCACGGTTCTGCCTCAGTCTGTTAACAAAAAGTAAAAAATGACTCTTTTCATTTAAAAAGAAAAAAACGATCATTCTCATTTCATCTGGTATAATTATGAACAATAACATTTCAACAAACAGCTGGTGGTCGCCCACTCTCGGCTGAAAATAATCAAGTTGAATGACTGATAATCGTGCAAAACCAACCCGAGACAATTAATCGCTCCAGCTTTGTATTTATGAAAGACAGTCATGACATTGGCAAGCCAAGGTCATTTTTTTCTTTATGTCATCAGTAAGCATGAAGAGAAGGGCCTTGTTCCAGCCTGACATCTCATTAACTCCTCGTCGATATTTATCAGTCTTAATCAGAGCTGTGGCAGGTCTAGTGTGATTACTTCCCCCGTGTGAAAGCAATCACACCTCGTCCTACCTACTGTCCTTGATTTATTGAGGGAAAAACATTCCGCCACAGCCGAGGAAGTTTTAGAGAGCTGCGAGAAAAAGAAGACGGAATTAAAAAAGAGGCACATTCTCAGCTTCTGCCTTTCTTTGTCCTCACTGCAAACACGCAGCACCAGATGGACAACGGCTTTATGCACGCAGCGAAACCGAATGTTGACAGTGCGTCGCATACTTCCTGTTCGACTTTGGGCTTCAGTATGTAAGCGTTCAGATGTGTCATTGTGTGGGTCCAATGAGTTCTGCTGAAGCTGATGAATTGCCAGTTCTTTAAAAAAAAAAAAAAAGCACTCTGCAAGCAAACTATTGTGCGTTTTTTTTTTAGAGAGCACTGAAATACACCGCCAGAAATTTAACACACCCAGCAGGAGGCGAGAATAATTACCCCACACAAAGTGCGGCTTTGACAAAGGAGACAACAAAAGGTGAAAAATAAATGACGAAAAGGGAAATGGTGGAGAGTTTTTCTTTCCTTTTTTTTTAACAGCGACTTCAAAACGCTTTTGGATGCTTTGAAAAGTAAATAGCTTGTTCTGTTCCATGTCACTTTTTTTTAACAAATCGTTTACTTACAACATACAACACTTTTGTGAAATCGACAAACAATGTATATAAACCAATGTAATACAGTACATCAATTTTATTTCTTTTTTAGATTTTCTTCTGATCCGCAAACACCAGGAAACCTGGGCCGAAGAGAGCAAATTAATTTTGTGTCACACAAAAACTGTTGCCAATCATGTCTACCATCAGGTGTTCATTCTTACTCCTTGACCCAGCTAAGGACCTCTAACAAGCCAAATGTGAAGTAGTCTAATATCAGGTGGCAGGCAGACAAAGGTGAAGCAATGGGGGATGTCGGATGACGTGCTAACATTCTTGCAGCTGTGTGGGATCGAAGACCAATGAGGCGTCTTTCTGAGGAACCAAGTGTCAACTCGTTGCAAAGTCTGCTTCACCTCTCTGGACTGTCAATGACCTGTAAACGGCGGGAGATGCTCAAATTTATCC